TGAGAAATCAAATTCATCACTGCTTTTATGTTCTCAACAGAATGATCAATACAGAGAGATGGTCACAGCAAAGATGCAAAAGAATACAATAATAAGAATAATAAGAGAAATGCAGAGGAAATTTTTGCACCAACAAAGTTTAGGTAGCCTAGTATCGGAGAGCGGAAACGATGATAACCTCGTTCTTTATAACCATCCAAGCTTTACAGAAGCTTCATCTAACTTGGTTTACTATTGTAACCCCCACAGACCGATAAGGGTAACCAGATTCGATCCGAGGTGTCATATTTGGGCCATCGGAGCGACCCACTGTAAAAATAGCGGAAAATTTAAAACTTTTATTGAAACGTGTAACTTATAAAATCAGTTGTCACTATTTAAAAATAAAACAGACGTCTAGACTCGTATATAAATCAAAATACAATTACATGCCCCCTAATCACATGTACCATACTCTACAACAACGCTGGAAGAACTCCCTTACTGATGTCGATAGCTGCACTGGTACAATTCTTTTAACCTGAAAATGTGAGTAATAGAGTGAGCTTCGAAAAGCTCAGTAATACAGAACTACCAGATGATGTTGATGAACGTGCAGATACAGATAAATATATATTTCCTTATTGTTTCCGAACATTTACAGATTTTTATGCTGAGCAGAGATCCTACTGATATTTCAGGTGGTAACGGACAATGAGCTTTCAGTTCAGAGAAATATTTCGGATGACTGAGTTCAGGAGATCAGAACAGGTTATCTAGTGTGTTCCCATAAAACCAGTAAAAGGATACATATTTTTTTTAAAGCATATATATATACACCCCCATCCTTTCACAATATGTTGTGTAGGTTCCCCGGAACCATACATCCCGCACAACCAGTAACAGTAAGGCCCTGAACACACAACCGAGGAGCCTGCAGTAATCTTCCTCCAACAATAAACCCCCCAGATAAAACATTTCTTCGTCGGTAAACGGAGATATCAGAAATCAAAACAGAATTCATATCAGATATCAGAACAGAATCCAGATCAGAATCAGAACAGAATTCAGGTAACGTATCAGAACAGAATTCAATTAGGAAATCAGATAAAATATTTATATAATTATGGAACACACCAGAGTTTACAGGTATTATTTAGAGGTACTGTATTAGGCAGAGAAACACAGTTATTCAGTATGCCGATAGAATATCGAAATTCAGAATCACTATTGGAAGAGTTCAATAACTGACAAAATCATCAATTATTCAGAATATGACTTGAGCTGTAAGGAAGAAATGAAGATTCATGACATTTACAATCTATGTCGATTGATCGGATTATCAAACAACTCTTAAATGAATAGCTCCCAAAATTAATGCTTGTCAATTGATCAATTCATTGTTCTTCCAGGGTATTTACTCTTTAATACCACAAACTCTTGTCCATAGATCATTTTCGGAATCATCACTGAATAGATCTTCCAATGTCTTTATTTTATTTTTTTACGCTTTTAATATATCATGAAATACTGACGTGCTTGATTTGTAGTTCATGATCCAGAAGAACAGTACATTGTGTATGTTCATTAACGTTTCCATACTCATTCGCATCACTTACTTAATCGTTAGTGCTTGAGGTTGCTTAGTTCATTTAGCATTCAAGTCTATTCCAGTTACTTCGGGATTTTCCAGAGTAATTCCGTACGTTTCTGAATTTCAGATACATATTGTACTTCCGTTCAGTTCAGTTTGGTCTTCGTGGTTGATTTGTCGAACAAATATCCAATTCTTAGTACCGAATGCAATCTAGAGTTGAGCTGAGCTGAATACTTCCAAAATTATCATTGAGCTAAACTTGAGTAAACGAACATGCATTCAAGTAATATCTATGTCGTTCAGGTAATGAAATATTATTAAGGTTGATCGGCTCACTTAAGTTATGTTCCATAACTTTTAAAGGTAGTCCAATACCTATGTTTATTTGGATTCCTTAATTAATCCAATGTATTTACTTAGTTTAGGCCATAAGGTTATTTTGGTAATTTTGGTGTTCAGTTTAATTCCATTTATTTCAGAGCTCGAGGATATCCAATCATTCCTGAGCTTGGTGATATTCTTGGGTCATTTCCATTACAGGGATATTTTGGTCATTGTACAGATTCAGTGTACTTTAATCATATCCTTTCGTCTGATATTACTATTAAATTCAATCTTATCATTTATTTCAGTCCTTTCGAACAATTCTGACAACAGAACACTCCCGACAAATTGTTCTTCAGGTATTTACTCATAACTCGGATATTTCCGAGTCAAGTACTTTCTCAGATTTTACAAACGGAACATCAAGAATTTTCCTGCACTAAGTCAAGATTTTAACAACCAAATCCGTACTTAATCGAGTTAAGTACGAATCCTCTAAGTATTTTCTCATTCATAGTCAACTCAGACTATTCTACCTCTTAAAGCATTTCCGTAATTTCTTAACCAGATAATTTCGATATTAGCTCTTAACGAAAATAATATAATTTAGAGATCCTATGATTAATTGCTTTCTTGAATACTCTCTGATCTTGAAACGGTTCTCTTAACAAACTTCTAGTATCATTCACAAACTCTCATAGGATTAAAATCGGTTATCCATAATTTCCAAATAAAACTAACATTTCTTATGCACATCAATATTTTTATCAGATCAATATGTCTGTAAAATCCTCTTATCTAACTTCCATATTCAAATCTTGTCTTTTTATAACATAAGGGTATTTTCGTAATTTTACCCTACCAGAGTATTCTCATAATTTCTCATCCAAGTACCTTTAACATTTAACCTTTGATGAAATAAATTATAAGTTGCAGATACAAGACTGATTTCTTTATCACTAATCACAACCTTGTAATTTAATCTAACAATTCCTCAATTTCTTATATTAGTCATTCGATCCGTAATTATTTACAGAATTTCTATCACATCATATCGAGTGTATAAATTATTCAACTCCACCAAAGTGACCAACATTATCTTGTTCATGCATTTATCAATATAAACATGTTCTATAAAGCATAAAGAGGTAGTAAAGTATTACCTCGATTTCTGTGCAATACTGATTGACCATAAAAATTCAATTCGAATGCCTTTGATCTTCAATTCAACTTCCAATAATTCCTCAGATACATATCAACATAAATTATATTAGAAACGGAGCTTAATTGCGATAAACAGATCGAATCGGGTGATAAATTAGTGAAAGACGGCTTATCGGGTTCGAATTTGGCGAAACATACTTCGGATTCAGGACGTCGAAAGCATAAAATATGACTTTTCGGAAATTTGAAATTTTTGGTCAAAATTAAAGTCAACGGGTTTGACCGGCAGTTTCGAGGCCTTCTGGTTTGAATTTAGAAAAACGGACTGCGGAATCGGATTTGGAACGTCGAAAAATGTCATGATAGGTATACTCGGTCGAAGTCAAAGGTCGTTTAATACCCGGTCAAATCCGGTCAAAGTTTTGGTCAACAGTGGTCAACAGTCAACGGGTCAACGGGTCGGGTTAACAAATCGGAAACTTTGACCGCTTCACCTCCTCACGCTCCGCCGTCGACGGAGACCAAGGATGACACCGGCGAACTCGGAACGATGCAACGAACACGATGGTGCGGGAGGTGTCGTAAACGGATGACCCGATCGTCGTGAATCGATGAAAAATCAATTAAAACCGAGTTATTACCGACGATACTTCCGACTGGAATTAACAACGAACGGAGATGATTTACGACGAAAGGTTTGAGGGGTTTTGTTCCTCGGTTGACAACGAACACGATGGTGATTTCGGCTCGTCGATCCGAGGTCGGACGGCGAGTAGATCGGAGTTGAAAGGACGGTAGTTGGAGAAGACAAAACTGAAAAAAAATGAGAACCTGCGCACGGGGAGAAGAAATTTATAATTCATCTTATATAAAAAATGGGTAAACCAAGATTTTAGTCACTGAACTTCTTGTACTTCTTAAAATGGTCTTTCAACTTTGAAATTTTACAATTTAATCCCCAATTTCATCCAAAAATACCAATTAAATTCATCACTTTATAATTTCTTAAATTTAGCCCCTAAATTGGGGTGTTACAACTACCCTTAAATGTTGAAAGGGAGAAGAATGACATTGTCCCTGAAAAAATGGCATAGGAAGGATTATTTGAAACCACAAAACATACCACCACAGTGAAAAAAAGAGTAAAAGAGCTAAGGAAACTACAATCCAGTAAAGATGGAAATGACTTTTAGTAGTCGAAGAGGCTGTGGTGGAGACGCTGCCATTCTGCAATTTGTGGGCATCAAACGTTCTGATAAATTCACATTGCTTTCATAATGGGACTTGGTGATGATTCGGGCAATGTTAATCTTATACAAATATTTTGGTATTTCCCAGAAAGTTGAGCAAAGAAGAGACAGAAGCACCAATCAATTATGAAGAGAAGATAATCATCTATATGAAAAAAACTGAAAACGGTTCGACAGAAAATAAGCATGTAAGATTATGAAGAGAAGATATATCAGATCGAAGCTCACGAGAACTCAAATTATGGTTAAAGCCATCGGACAACAATGGCTTTTCTTGCCCATGTTTCTTCATGTTAAGGGCAGCCTTTTGCAGTAGGTTATCAGAATTTCTCTTATTAATAACTTTTGATTCTTATGTGTCATCCTCAGGTGCCTCTGCAGTTTTTGTTTATGTAGTTTTGCTACTTTCAACAATTCAATTCATATAATATGATGACTTGGTAGTTTAAGGTTGACATGGAAGTAAAACTCTTCATCAAAATAAGTATTTTCACTCATTTTTAGTCGTCAAATAAAAACCGGACTAAAACCAAACTTCGGACCTCATTCATCTTTCCGTGTTGCTTTGCATGCTGGCTTGCTCTATTTTGTCTTAATTCATTCAACGCACAACCCTGAAAATGCGCTTTTATGCCATCCCTTATTTGCGACACAAACACACGCTATATACATGATGCGATCATTTAAGAACACAAACTAAATGAATTTCTGATACAATAACAGTTAATAATGGTACAGTTCCATTAGAATCACAATGCCCCCCATTCACAAACTCACTAATATTACGTTAAATAAAATCCTAATCAAAATCAGACAATTAGTTAGACCACACATGAACTAGACCAAGCCTGTTACCCGTATAAATCTCGTTGCGTTCTTCGTCATAGAAAAGTGCAGTGATATCTTCTAATGCTTCTGCAACCGTGCTTCTAATTCTTGAAGTATTGCTCCGTGTTTTCAAACTGCAACTACATTTGTCACTGCAGCTGCAATGTTTTTCCACAGGGAAACTGTTGCTTGCCCTTATTTTAGCAAGACATTTCCCAGTCAATATGTTGCTGATATTAATGGAACCTGACACAACCCGTAAACAAATTCATTAGACGCACACATAAACAGTGAAACAAAAGCAAATGAACATTTAACTTTCTATGTTTCTAAATAACTATACAATCACATCCCCTCCCTCTCTCCCCTCTAGTTTTACAATTGAAAGTTAGTTTCCACTTTTTGTTTCTATAACCTTTATGTTACCAGTACATCAGAGCGAAGTAAGAAATTAAAAGAGAGAGAATACAAACCATTTCCTTCAGATAATGGATCATCGGAATCAGCCTTGCAGTATGAGATAATAAGATCTTGATCACTTGTGATGTATATATTATTAGTGTTGCAGTCAGGATGCCACAAGAGGTGATCCTCAAATGAAGTTACAAGTTCTCCACGAAAATTCCACACAGCCACTGTCCGGTTTCTAAATGTAAGGAATAACTGGTTCTCATACAGAAATATAAATGCTGATGGGGTCATAAATTCATTTTTACTAACTTCTGTTAGCTCGGAATTGCGGACCTGCACAATTACAGTTTAGGATTTTTTTTAGCTTTGAACTTTCTATTATGAGAATGGAATAAATGAATATTCACAATGATACTTACATCAAGAATCTGGAGGTTTTCATTTTCCTGCTTCACAAGAAGCTTTTCATTGAACTGTTCAATGAAATCCACCTTCTTATTCCGGTGAAGAAGATGACTAAAAGATTTGAGAACAGTACCATCCTCTATGGAAAGAATCTTAAGAGGAACATGACCACCAACTTTAGAGAAAATTAATAACATGATCCCCGGACTGTAAAAAATAAATGATGGAAACGAAGTCAATTACATAAAGCGACACCATTAAAGCAAAAAGGTTAAGGCACCATTGGGTTGTTGCTCTTGGTACTTACTTTTTATCTACAGTACAAAGGAAAAAGTTAATTTGAACTAGACAAAACTGATAATTGTGAAAATGATAAAGGTTTCCATTTTCTATCAATGAATGAATCTTTGCTCTCGTAGGAAGATATAACCATCATGAAAGGATCATTACCTGATTTTAATCTCTTGAACATTTCTATCTGATATGGAGTATAACATTGTATAATTTTTTAGGTCAAACACCTTGTATATGCTGATGACAAGACAAAAACAATATATATCAAACTCAGAAATCTAGTTAAGGAACTGATCATTATAGTTTGGCACAAAAGAACATTCAATAGGTGAGTACTTACCTATCCTGTGCCGAATAGGTGAGCACCTTCCCATTTACATCATCAAACTCAACAAAACCAGGCCACTTCAGTGACTCGGATTCAAAAAGAGAAAAACCAGCATCAGGTTGGCCTCTCCGTATGTATCTGTCCATCAAACAAAATTGTTTCAGAAGGAAAACATGCCCAAATGCAGTATTTCATATTTTTCTTTATTTTTGCCTCGTTTATCTTTTCAGATCAAAATGGGATAAGACAATGGTTCTAAAAAAGGTTAAAAAGGATAAACATACTCAATCCTTGTGCTTCTGCATTTCAAAGAGCTGAAATTGTCTGATGCGTAAACTGAGACTGTGATGAGCGAGTCATTGTTTTTATTATAAAACAAGCTTCGTATAACTTCATCAGCAGTGACATTTAGAAAGCATATTCTTTGATTAGTTTCTGCATCAAAAAACAATAAATATCAAGATCCCTAATCTAATTCTTGATGCAAATAGAAAGAAGAAAATGCCATCGAAAACAAGTTTAGAAGGTAAAGCATAGTTCCCACCTCGACTAAACGCTGCACATACACCAGATTGGGCAAGACCAAAGACAATGTCTCGTGCAGCTACAATCTCTATAATCTTTGACCTCTTCCTCAGAAATGGTAATACCATTGAACAATGCCCTTTTGGATCATGAGTATCATATTCCTCCTATGTATATACATATGTAACGTCACCATCAGGAATTTAGTAAGCAAGCTCAATAAGAACAGCAATGCAAAGATCTGCCCCATGGCTTTCAAATTAATCCTTTTGCTTGAAAGACTTCATGCGAACCAAAAGGAAAGAAATGACCTCTACCTTCCTACTTAATGTATAAATAAGTACAAATATCACAGTTCAACCAAAGATGAACCGGTTTAAATAGCAGGATTTCATCATGATTGTCTGAATACCAGAAAATAGAAATGAAGAATCTAAGTTTACAATCAACCTATGTTATCAAACTTATATTCTTATTGTAATGAAGAATCTACTTTTGAACCTATGTAGTCTTCATGATTGTATCATGATTCTGAAATAAGCTTTATCATTCACGGAAATAGTAAAATCGACATCAGGAATCTTTTTTACACAAAATTCCACCATTTAAAACTTTATTCTTTTGCTATTAATCATATTGAAAACTTAAACAGCCATAAATATAAAGATCAATACATTTTAAAGAACTACAAAACTGAATCAGGTTTGTAGCAATAGTAAGGTAACATTGAAAGGGTGGGGTGCTCAACTCTAGTCATCTATTATATATCAAAGCCGTAACTGTGATTGGAGTGCAAACTATTAAACAGAGATTATGAGTATCAAACTAATTTGAACCCTAATGATGCAAAGGTAGTGCTTCCTTTTTTTTCCTACCACAAATTTGAAGCTATGGTTTAAATGGTCAATTTTCTTTGGATTGTAATCAAGAAAGCGTGAGAACCTCAGCTTAGATCTTATATTCGAAAGCATATTTCTCATGTAAATTAAACGTAAAAAGAAAACAAAACGAACATTTATTGGAATATTAATATATAGAGAAGAAAAATGAGCAATAATCAAATAATTAGAGTAGGGTTAGGTTAAGCAAAAGAAAGAACCTGCAAGCGGATGTTGCGGAAGCGCTCCTGGGCGTCGGTGATGGAGAAAGCACGGTGTCGTTTGGAGCAAATTTCTCTTCTCTGAAGCTTCTTGACGCTGTTAACAAAGCCATCCGCTCTCCCTCTCTTCTTCGATGCGACTATTCTCCTTCCACTGCAAGGCCTTGGGCTCACTGCTAATCTCCGCCCGCCATCCATAATTTTTGGTTTCTCCTTTGAATCTTCGCAAAACCCAAACTCCGAAAATACCCAATAGCCGCTGGTGGTGAATGCTCTGGGACTTGAGCTCCCACCAAACTAACAGCCCTCCTCCTCGCCTAAACCCTACGATTCTAGGGCTTACTTGGTAATACTATGCAACCCAAGCGATAACCTACTACAATACTCTCTACTCCTTCGCAAAAGAGAAAGATTGCTTCTTTCTTGTCTACTCTTCCTTATCTTTTCTTCTTTCTGTCTCGGATTCCCGTTAACTTGTCGTTCGATCTCCTTTTCAATTTTCGAATTGAACTGAATAAATAAATAAATAAATAAATAAATAAAAGGATTTTCATTTACTCACACTATTACTGAATTACAAGCGGTTATTTGTAAATAAATAAAGTTAATTCATTATATGTATTTTTTTTAAATATATACATCGTATCAGCATATTATTTATTATTATGTTTAGATTAACATATTATAGACTAATTCACATTAAATACTATAAATATTTATTATAATAATAAGTTTTTTTAACTCTATTTTCTTTATTTATATTAATTTTAAATATGATTAAATTTGAAATTTGTATCAATTTCAACTTTAATTTTTAAAATATTTCAATTTGAGCATTTAGTTTTAATTTTGACTTTAATATAAATACTAAATCATTAACAATAGCAGTGTTTGGTAGTTTGGTACTGAGGTAATAGTTAAAAAATAGTTTATTTTATTTTATCTTATTGCTCTTGCTATAAATCGTCATTTTTCAATATCTTTTGTGATTATCCTAAATATTAATATATTCGTTTTGTCATCATTTTATTGGTTTATTTTTTTTTAAAATTTCTTTAAAACTCAAAAAATTAAATATAGAAAAATTATTAATTTTAGAATTTGAAGACTTTATCGGGAGATTATATACAACTTTTCATATTGCATGAATCATCTTATGTAATCATATGAAATTATCATATCAAGACTTGAAAAAGAATGTCAATTGGGCATCAAAAATATTTCATTATGTCAATCGGGAGTAAGGAGAGACCGATGGAGGAAGGGTGGGATAGTCATCCCTTGAAAATTTAAAATTACCATATATTTTATATTGAAAAACTGTTATTACCTCTAAAATTTTGTAAGTTTATCCCCTCTTAAAATTGTATAAGTTTAATATATAATTATGAGTTCGAAAGATGATTGAATGGACATTGTTTACAAAATGATCACTATCTAGATCACGAGAAGTCTCGATTACTATCGAGGTTGCTTGCGAGAGCTGTTATTCTACAACACAAAACAATGATCTTATTGTAAGATCCATGATGTTGTCCCAATTCCATTACAAGAAACATCGCTTTATTTTTTTCTTTCTTTTATCTATTTGAACTATACCTTTTCGTTCCCTAAGAGTGAGTGAACATTTTGAAGCATACGAATTTCAAGTTACTGCTTGTAGAAAATGCTCTTCCAAACCACCAAAAGCTCTTTGCAGAAACTTCTCGACGATTCCAACAAACTCGTCGACCTTTTCCTCGTGGGCCAAGTGGCCACAATTCTTAATCACTTCAAGCTTCGAATGAGGAATGGCTCGTGACAGTCTCTCGGCATTCCAAGAAGGAACGATTCGATAGGTGTCACCCGTGACAATCAGAACTAAGTTTCATCGAGACAAAGTGGAACCATTACATTCTGCCTATGCGTATCAACAATAAAGCCACATAGCAGACTAGAGAAGTACAAGAATATAAGATCTGTGATACCAGTAGCATTCGGGTATTCATTTTGTTAATCTATTGCTTAATAAGATGAAAGCAGGACTGATTCACAAATCTTTAATGGGACAAACATTCCTTCGAGTTCTTAACTGCTACGATGATTTGACTCGGATTGTTAGTATGGCCAAGGTGTTGTATTGAATTGGAACCATTTGTAATAATAGTATTACTTGACTATTCAAAGTGGCTTTTTCAATTCACCATCTTTCCTGATTATGATCTTTCCTATTTAAATGTTATAATACAGAGCAAGAAATTAGTACCAGGGCAGGAGATTTCATGCAGTCTTTTTGACAGCGGTGGCTTCGTTGCAGACTTGCCTTTCAAAAGCATCGCTGCGGTGAATTCTACAAGAGCCTTATCCCAAACCCTTTGTTCTCAGTGGCTGCATAAACAAATCCAGATTTAACCATTACAGCCTAAAGGCAACCCTAAACACCAGCCATCTAAGCATTCATCCATTAATAATAAGACAGTATAGAGCTTAGTGCTAATCACCTTGGTATAGCCATCTATGATGTGTTCATTGACTTGTTTAGAATCATAAAACGCCATCCTTACAGCAGCTACACCGAATTTATCGATGATCATCCTTATCTAGAAGAAGATAAATAGTTCACTTGACAGCACACAAAATAGGTGCATACTAAATCGAAAAAGAAAAAACCTATGCAAAAGATGCGTGGTTTAAGCAACAAATAGATGAGATAAACATCATGGTTAACACAGAATTGCACGGCAGTATCAGGTTGTTTGGTACTTGTAATTTGATTTGCAAGGATTAACAAAATCAACTTTGATTGGAAAAACCCTCTAAGCAATTCAAGCAAGGCACATATCAAAATTTATCCACACAGAAAGTCAGTACCAGCATTACACCGAGAGTCGACCGAAGAATAGACAAGAGTGCTTTCTTGTACAGAGAGTCGAGCATATTTGCCATCCACGTTATCATTTGCATTACCGCTTGTGTGACATACTTTATAAACTTGAACAGCCCTTTGAGAAACTCAAAGATCGGCTTTGGTGGATTATTCGAGTCCGATCTGTCTCCTTTAGTCTCAACAACCTTAGGCTTAGGAATTGCACGCGGGGCCAATATTGCTGGGGCAACAAGGATCAAAGTAGCAACTCGTTCAGGAGCTTCAAAATATGCATCAACCGCTACAAGAGAACCAGCAGAATGCCTGGCATACCAAAAAAAGAGATACTAGTGTTCACTAAGGTGGATCTTAGAAACAGAAACAATCTCTCCTACATAATTTATACTCTTAGTACATTTTGTCAAAAGAGACAGGGATATAAACTGAAGAAGAGATTTTGTATGAATGTATCAATGGAAAGCAAGTAAACAATGACGAGAAAGACACATATGGCATACCCCACCAGAATTGCCTTCTCTGCAGCCAAGAAATCGATGAAGTACAAGGTAGTAAGTACAGAAAACGCCATGGAGTAAGGATTCAGAGGTTTCGCGTCATTAGTTTTGGTCCCAAAAGTGTTGAGTCTCGAAGTTAAGCCGAATGCGGGTCGATCAAAGGCAAGAACTTTGGAGCCCGTGAGGTTAGCCAAACGATTCATAACTTTGTTCCATGAGAAAACAGAAGCTCCAAAACCGTGTAGAAGAATCATAGGAAGACCAAGCCTTAAGGAAGGTGTCTGTGTCTGGTCTTGGGCATTGGAGTTATCTGAAGAATGCAACTCTGGGTCATAAAGCTTGTGATGAATTTCAACCCCTTGAAACTCGCAAAAGCAGCTGTCTGGATCAGCTAAGAGTTTTGGATCCAACAGTTCATCTTGATCAATGCCTGCTATTCTCTTCTTCCTCTCCTTCCTCCCAATATCCACTAACTCTCCTAAGAATTTCAATAGAATGGTTCGAGACTTTAGTATATGTTAAATAAACTAACATAAACTGATTTTGTAGGAAACAATAGACTTGCTTAACGACATATTTTAAGAAGAACGGTGTGAAGAAGCAGCAACAGCAAAAAGAGGGAAATTAAAGCACCTGCTGCTGCTGAAGAGTATTCGCCGGCGCCGGAGCCAGAGAGAGAAAAGGCATGGGTGACGGAGGTCATAAGAATTGGACGGCGGCGACTGGAATTGAGATGGGAGGAAAGGTTATACGTTTGAAGACTATGGGTGTTTTTGCTAATGGCGATTCCATTCTGTATATGCTGAAACTGGAACTGATACCGAAACAACAATCCTCTTGCACTCATAATTGAGGGTATGGGATCAACGACCATAGCAGGAAAAAAACAAGAAATTCGAAGCTGATTTTTATCAATATTCAGAAGGTAAAAGCACATTGTTTGCCCGAAGTGTTGGAAGCAAATCCGAAACAAGACTTATCCATGTCTAATAATTGATAACACCTACCAGGATATGAGGAATTGAGGATGACGCATTTACAGGACAGAGTGTATCTTCTTTATCTTTTGACTGACCAATAATATGGCTGTGTTAAAAGAAATTTATCACTCAATTTTGATCATATTTTTTTTAATCACTAAACTTTAAATTTTTTAGTTTAGTAATTAAATTTTTTTAAAAAATCATTATACCGTTAAATAATTTGAACGTCTATTTTTTTAAAAGAATATAAAACTATCTCAATTTTTTTTTATTTTCTAATGAAAAACTTATAGTCTCGAATTCTCTTTTATTTCCTGATAATATAGCATATTTTTTTCAAATCTTAATAATGAGAAGATGAATAAGAACATTAACTATATATTATAATTCCACGATTGGCCGAATGATGGATATTATATATCATAATTATTATTTTCTAATTTTTTGGTTAAATTCCTAAAATCCTTTATAATTCATTTGTCATTAACGAATCAACTGTTATCATCCACCATTTTCTTCTCCAGATTCTGATATTGATTATTTCATTCTTTTATTATCGCAAATCGACAAATAAGGTGACTTGAATGTGTCGTAACCGTCTTTCGGTTGGGCCCCGGAATTGGGCTTCGACTTGGATTAAACGGATTGGAGTCGCCACCGATCATTTATTTAAAAATAAATGAGTTGACCGGATACCTTATAATTTACCTGATCTGCGTCTTACCAAAGATGTGTCGGATTCGGGAGTCGGTTACAGTCAAGGAAGGGTTAGCACCCTTGAACTGCCCTTTCGGTACTACATAATTTCCAGTTGTCTTAACTAAGAAAATTGTAAATTTAAATTAAAAGTTAAAATAACGATCCAAAACTTACCTTTAACTATTTTTTGAAAACGTACTCTTACGGAATCAAGGAAAAACGTTAGAAAAATAAAGGTGACGAAAATAAATTGAAAATAAATTGAAAATAAGAAAATAAAATAAAGAAAAAAACTAACAACATATAAAATAAGGACAAAAAGCAAACGACATGACCAACATTGAGATAATAAAACTGAAATGAAAAAATAAAGACGAAAGAGAATAACATAAATAAAGAAACAAATGTAAATAAATAAAATACGACAAAAAAAAATTAAATAACAAGAAATAAACATAAAAATAAAAGTA